TTCACTTCGCTCCTCGTCGCCTGCTACAAGCCGCTACAGGCCAAGAGGCCGAATGCCCTGACGCGGGCCACCGGCTTCCTCCACCGGGAGTACAAGAAAAAATGCTACTGGTGGGAGGTGGTCGAGCTGGCGCGCAAGCTCGTGCTCACGGGCTTCGTGCTGCTGATCCCGGAGAAGAGCGCCTTCCTTCGCCTCGTGGTGGCGACCCTCGTCTGCTCCTTCTACGCCGTCGTGCTCGCCGTCGTGCGGCCCTTCAAGCGGGTCGAGGATAACGTGCTGGCCGTGGTGCGCCAGCCACCCCTCACCCCCTTTACACTTGCTAAAGCGAGGCACGGCTTGGATTGCAGGCCACCAGCCTCGTGCTCCTCCTCCTCTTCCTCGCCGCGAACTGGACGACCATCTTCCTCGGTATCATTGAGCGCTCCAGCGTCGACACCGCCGATGCAGTCCTCGGCTTCGATAACCTGTCTGAGATCATCAACTCGATGCTCGTCCTCGTCGGCGTGACGCTGCTCTTCTTCCTCATCGGTGCCGTCTTCTCCGCCCGCCACGCCAAGGAGGTTCCCACGATCCGCCTCGTCTCGACCAACCAGCCGCCCGAGCTGAGCGTCGGGATGGGCATCACGTGGCATCTCTTCAACAGCCACATCTGGAGTACCGGTCAAGACGCCGTCGCGGTCATCAAGAAGCAGCTGCAGATCCTGCTGCCTGGCATCAAGATCTTCCTCGACGCGCGCGCATGCTGCCCAGTCGCGCTGCATGGCGAGCAAAGCCCCTCTGACGCACCGCGGTGCGCGCATAGGTAGATGACCTCAAGGATATCGGAGCGCTCGAGGAGTACATCCAGCGCTCGCAGGTCATCCTCTTCTTCCTCTCTAGGGGCTACTTCAAGTCCAGGGCGCCTCATGCTTCTATCCTGCCTCTGTCATAGCCCAAGCTCCCTTGCCTCACCCCGTGCCCGCCTGTGCGCCATAGAACTGCCTTCGAGAGGTCCGCTCGTCGCTCGAGATGGACAAGCCGCTCGTCCTCGTCCAAGAGGCCGACCCGGCCAAGGGCGGCGGGACGCTACCAGCGCTGCGCGCAGAGTGCCCCGAGGAGCTCCAGCCCGACATCTTTGACAAGGACTGGCCGCTCACGATCTGGTACCGGATCAAGGAGTTTCAGATTGTCTCGCTCAAGATCACCGCCGAGGCGCCCCCGCCCGCAGCCAGAGCCCCTCCGCAGTCCTCTCCCTCTCCCGACCAACCCCACTTGAACTCTACAGGCGCTGCTCCTTTGTTCGCCCAACTTTCTGGACAGCACCTCCCTTCCGCTCACAGTGACGGGCGAGCTGCGGATCAGGGCATTCGGCTTCTCCACGTTCGCAAAGGTCTGGGCCTCTCCGGCCAACGCCGGCGCAAAGGAGCTGGCCGATGAGCTCGTCGCCGCCTTTCCCGGCCTCACCGTCTCCACCGCCGAGGAGGCTGGCGACGCGACCCACATGCTGCTCTACCTCAACGAGCACAGCTTCAGCGACGAGCGGCTGGCCGAGCAGGTTACGCAGGCGCGCCAGGACAGGCTGCCGATCGTCATGGCGCACGAGAACGACCCGGACCGCGGCGGCTGCGAGTTCGCCAAGTTTTTTGAGACCACGCCGCAGGTGGAGCGAGTGACACCCGTCCTGAGCCTCCCCTCCCCCCACAAACCTCTCCTTCCAACGCCGCAGGAGCTCATCGCGGGCGGGCTCTACAAGGACCTCGCGCGCTCGTGCTTCCCCGGGCGCCACCGCGAGGCGCGCGCTCGCCCCCTCGCCGCCTGGTGGGCGCTCACCGGCCGTCACGCCGCGCTGCTCAACCCGCCCCCCGCGTAGGCGTCGCTCGTGCTCCTCGCAAAGGGTCTCGGCGCGACTCCGGTCAAGAGCGCCGACCTCAGATCGAGCATCGTGCGCCGCACGTCAACGGCCTTCCGCAGCCTTGGCGGCGTCCGGCTCCGCGCCTCAGAGCGCTCAACCTCGGGAGAAGCCGAGGCAGCGACGTCGGCATCGGCAGAGCACGTGTAGCCGAGTAGAGCGGCGTTGAGAGCGTGGCATCTGCTGCAAGCGCCAGTGGGGTGGCGGGAGCCGCGTCTCCCACGTAGCGATGGCGTAACCGCAAACTAGTTGAGGGTCGTCCCACGGTCCTGTGCTCATCACCAGGATGCCAGAGGGGCACGGCCCGGTGCGCTCTTTGCGTGAGGGCCTAGTGGGAATGCGCAATTGCGTCGTGAGCGACCCGCGCCGTACGGGGTGTGCGTGTGGAGGGTGAGTTGACCAGGGTTGTGCGTTGGGCCCTCCTGCTCGGCTCCAGCGAGTAGACAAGTGTTGTCATCAGCTTGTCATCAACAGAGTAGAAGGATCTGACCTCGGGGCCGATGTGGCCAAGCGGCAAGGTCATGCCAAGGCGAGGCAGAGGTCATGCCAGGAGAGAAAGACGACCACAAGATTGTACACGCCGACATCACACTCGCAGAGGGAGACGCCGAAGAAGGATTAGGACAGCACAGGCGGATTGGAGTAAGACTAGACGACTGGGACGAGGCGGAATGGGCGACGTACGGGTCCATGAAGAACATGTGGCAAATAGGAGGAGAGACGTGGACAAGGACGGGACGACCTCGATCGCGTCCTCTGCCAGCTTGCGAGGACCGCACGCGCCAGTGGGTCCATTGACCACGCCGTATGGCACCTCTCGCGCGTCCACCCGCTCGCACTACACCTTTCGCGCGCCTGACCCAGGCGCGAGAAACGAATCTGCGAGGCGTGGCCGCTTATGCGGTCCGATGGGGAGGAACGGGGCGAGCCCCCTCCAACCCACCCGCGCTAGGTCTCGGGTTTGACGCATGGGGTCACTCCCGCGAAACTCGTGAACTAGCCGGGGCAGTCGGAGAAGGGGCAACTCCGTGCACTGACGGTCGGCCGCCAGAAAACACGCCTGCGTGGATCGCGTCACACCAATCCTCGCTACCCAACGCGGCCAAAGAATATCCACCTCGAGAACCTCGAGAACACCTTTCACTCCGCCGCCATCTCCGCCGCCATCGTTCACCGCCGACGCCCTCACCATTCAGAACTCCCGGCTGCCACCCCAACCGCCGCGCCGCCCGCCGCCGATGGCCCGGCCGCCACCGTCACCGTTGGCGGCCGCCTCCCGCCCTCCCGCACCGCCGCCCTCGCCACTGCCACCCGCGCCGCCGCCTCGCCAACGCTGCCGCCGACCCACCCTCCCGCCCGCCGCCGCTGCCGCCACGCCGCCGCTGCCGCCCTCCGGGCCGCCTCCTGCCCCGCCACCTGCCTCGCCGCCGCCCACGCGACTGGCCTCGCCGCCGCCAACGTCACCGCCCTCCCCACCGCCCTCCCCACCGCCCTCCCCTCCGCTCTCACCGCCGCCGACGCGCCGCCACGCCGCCTCTGCCTGCCGGCCTCCTGCGTTCTCGCCCCACCTCCCACACACCACCACCGACCTCCCCGCGCCCCCACACGCCGGCCCCGCGCACCCACGCCACCACCATCGCCCACGTCGCCCTCCCCGACCCCCACCCCGCGCCCCAGGCTCTTCACAGCTCCGCTCGGGGCGTCCTGGCGCCGCCGCCCCAACCGCTGCGGAGCGCGAAAGGGGGGCGCGCTGCGGCTCGCTGGCGGAGGTGAAGCCCCCCAGAGCGGGAGCTGGCGGGCCGGGGGCGTCGGTCGTGTGCGCGGCGGCACCCGTGCCACCGGGACGGGCCGAGGTGGCCCGCGGGGCAGACGTGAAGGGCCGTTTGGTGCGCCCCGGCGGCCTCCTGCACGGCGGCCGCCGGGGCCGGTTTGGACTGTGTTTGGGGGGGTGGAGGGGTCCGATGGCCGGTGTTATGGTCGTTTATCACCCTCCTATCACCCACTTACCGCCCCCGGCCGTGGGGACCTCTCCAGACGCCGCCATTCATGATTTAAAAGGGTCCTGCCGACGCTCATCACAGTGCGGCGGAGCCTGCCGGAAAAAATCCGGGGTTTAGCTGGCATATCTCGGGCCCACCTTAGAGCTAGGGCATGATCTTAGGTGTTCTGGATAGCCCACAAGGGTCTTCTGTGGCATGGTAGCGGTGGTTTTGCGCGAGGCGTTCATTCAAAAATCACCATTTCCCCCACTAATGTTCATGTTCATGTTCATGTTCACACTTGAGGCAAACCCCACTTTGGGACCTGTTTGAGGCGGTGTGGCGGCACTCACAGGGCACGGGAAGCTCTCCCGCCGCGTCTGCGTGGCCCGCCCGAGCCGCGGGGAACGGCGCGCGCCCCTCCCGGCGGAGCTGGGTGCGGCAGACGGGCCCACGGGTCGGTTCCGGGCCGATTTGGGGCCGTTCTGTGTAGTTCTGGGTCAAAATCGAGCTACCGGCCGGCATAGCCCTTCCAGCGCCGGCCGGGGGCTGCGGCGGCGCGCGGCGCGCGGCGGGCAAGCTGCCTGCTGGCGGGCGGCGCTTCTAGTCGTGATTTTAGTGCCGCGTAGGTCGCCCTTCGGCCACTTCTCGGGCGTGCGGCCGCGGTGCGCGAAAGGGGGGCGCGCTGCGGCTCGCTGGCGGAGGTGAAAGCGGGAGCTGGCGGGCCGGGGGCGTCGGGCGGGTGCGTGAAGGGCCGTGGTGGCCCGTGTGGCGGTCGTGAAGGGCCGTTTGGTGCGCCCCGGCGGCCTCGTGCACGGCGGCCGCCGGAGCCGGTTTGGACTGTGTTTGGGGGGGTGGGGAGGGGTCCGATGGCCGGTGTTATGGTCGTTTATCACCCTCCTATCACCCACTTACCGCCCCCGGCCGTGGGGGCCTCTCCAGACGCCGCCATTTATGATTTCAAAGGGTCCTGCCGACGCTCATCACAGTGCGGCGCGAGCCTCTCCTTGCCCCAAAACACCTCGCGCGGTGTGTGTGGAGAAGTTTACCTTACCTTACCCTTACCTCTCTTTCCGTCCCGAGCGCCGAGGTACACGCACAAGTCTTTCTGTCTCTTTCAACACGTAACCTTTTTAAAGCCAGGCTTTTTCAACACGTAACCAGACTAGTTCCTCGTGGCCGGTCCCGGCGGGCGTGCATGGCGTCGGCAGCGCCTCCGGCACGCTGGCCAGGCTCGACACCTTCCCCAGAGGACCACTCCCGTGAGCCCGGCGGCGACGGCAAAGAGCACCGCCCCGCCCAGCGTGCCGCCGAGCATGGAGCGGAGGGGCACCATCGACCCCGCGCCCTCCTCAGCGAGGCTCGCCCCTGCTGTGCCGCTGTCGGGCGCGTAGAGCGCGTAGAGCGCGTCGGAATCTAGTCCGAGGCACGCGCTCACCGCACTCTGGGCGCTCATAGCGCCCTCGGCGACGGCAAGCACGGCGGCTCCACCGCCCGAGGCCGACTCGGGCGCACACCCCCTCGTGCGCCGCATGCCTTGGTTATCACGCGCCCTGCAACGCTTGCTCGTAGACCCTGCGGCGCGCCACCGCCTTCGGGTTGGCCGGGTCGTACCGCAAGACGTGGAGCGTGTCTGCGAGCGCCGCCTCGGGCTCGCGCATCTGCTGCCTGTTCACACCTCGGGCCGTGAACGGCGTGCCTTCACACCTCGACGCCTCGGGCTCCGCCTCTGCCGCCCACGGTGTGAATACGCCGAGGGCAGGGTGTGAATACGGTGTTGTGCAATGCACTCGGAGCCCAGCGAGAATACAGTGGCTTCGAACAGAGCTGAATGCAGCGGAATCGAGCCTCCTCTCGAGTGCTCGGGTGACACTGATCTCCCCCTCCCCCCCCCCCCCCCTCCCTCCCTCTAGAGCTCTGCTGCCGGCACGCTGCGCGGTTGGAGTAGCAAGCGAGCGCCAGGTCGGTGTACGCGCACGGCAACACCTAGGTACCCGTCACTGACCACTCACTCTCAGCAATGCACAGCTAGTCGGCCGCACTCGCGCGGCCGCACCGCGAGCGCGCGGCTGTACGCCCCTGCGGCCGCCTCGAAGCGCGACTCGCGGTACGCCTCGTTGCCGCGCTCCTTGAGGGCGAGCGCCTGTGGACGAGATC